TGACTCGCCGGCCAGCAACGTATTTGTAACAGTTGACGGTCGCTCAACCAAGCAAACTCACGGAGCACGGTCGAAGCTTATTCTGATAATCATATTAAGCAAAAATTCACAATGCAGCGCCATTGTATGTCAAAATCAGGTGGTATATAAGCATAATATAGTAAATTACGTGCTTATAAATAATTAATAAACACTATCTAAGCATACAAAATACAGAGAATAAAATGATTCAATTATGTGTCAGACGAACGGCACATAAACACACGGAATTCTCATTGACACGAAAATCATAAAATATTAATATTATTTTATGTAGCTCGTAGATCTTATTGCAATCGCTGGCTCGCTGTATTCCAAACACTATGTCCTCGCGTGTCTTCGGGTTGAGGTCCAATTGCTTACAAAGCTACGAACATCACACGAGGTATGGTTAACATTTCGGTTGTCTCTCTTTTACACAACTTTAGATATCGATAAAAACTTTCCTATACTCGAAGTCGACATGTTAATTGTAGATTTTGGAGGATACTCAGTAACTCTTCATTTTGTATTTATACGTGTTCCACACAATTATCACTGTAAACAGGGTTTACGTACTTAAACTGTATTAACAAGATAATCGTGTAATGGTGAAGAGTTGTGTTTTCTTTGAGGTACGGACTGAATTCGTAAATATTATTTAGACGAACTTAGACTTCAAAGGGTAAACTTAAATTGAATCTTATTAACATAGATTCGTAAATTTATATCTTTTTACAACGTATTGGTTTTTAGTGTCAACACTTATGCACTAATTTATTTGAACAAATGCAATTTTAGGTTTTTATAGCAGTTAGTGTTCATATTTTGGACTTCTGGTTTGTGACGCAGCGAAGTGGTTACCAAAGTTTCGAAGCTTTCAACCCTGAAGATCACCATCTGATTGTGTTTGGGGTAAGTGCTGATTGTTATAAAGTGCAGTTTGTATTGAAATAATTGCAAGGAAATTAACGCAGCTAAGAAACTAAGGCTGACGCCCGTATAAATAATATTTAGTGACTGGCAAAAATACGTATATCCATTAGATAAATTTGCTGTTAGAATCTAAGAATCATGAGAAATCCATAAATAGATACTGTGAGTGAAATGCAGATTTACTGATTTTGAATCATACGGTACATAGAGTTACCACTAAAGGGTTAACAGATACTCCCACAAAATTGACTCCTGTATATCCATCACCGTCAGTAATGAATATTTTTACCAGATTATTATTACCGGAATTAAAACTGAACTTAGTTATTAATATAAATAAAATTACGAATGTTTCTGCTCCAACAGAACAGAATGCCAAAAATTTAACTGAATCTGTGAAGAAAATTAAGCTCGATGATTACTACTTCATCCCCCAGTATTGTCAGGGTGATTAAGTCGAGAAGAATGAGATGGGCGGGGCATGTAGCACGCATGGATGGGACAAGAGGTGTGGAAGCCTGAGGGGAAGAGACCTCTGGGGAGACCTAGACGTAGATGGGAGGATAATCTCAGGCGGGATCTATGGGAGATAGGAGTTTAAGGAGACTGGATTTTGTTGGCCCAGGACAGGGTCCGGTGGAGGGCTTTGGTTAATTCGGTGATGAACCTTCGAGTTCTAGTTAGTTAGTTAGTTATTACTACTACCAAAAGCAGTAGGGGTAGTATTGTCATATAAAATATATGTGAGAATGTAGACTGGATTCTTCAACCTGCTGTGGGCATAGCAATGTAAGCCCTGAAGATGGTTGTCTTCTGGGTTGTTGCTCCGTGTAGTCTGGTAGAAGTTTACCAACGTTTCAGAGGTCATACTGCCTCCATCATCAGGGCGGTGACTCTTTACTCATCGCCCTGATGATGGAGGCAGTATGACCTCTGAAACGTCGGTAAACTTCTACCAGACTACACGGAGCAACAACCCAGAAGACCTCAAATCCTATTCAGTTTAATCTATTTTCACCTTCACACAGTTCATTGCTGTTTTTAGTGTTTTAATATTTGTAGGCTTCAAGATGACTTCTGCAGCGAATCTTCTGGTATTAATGCTGGTTGCGTGGAACAGGGTCCAGGGGCAACTGGGACAAATTCCATTTCAGAATCAAGTTCCATTCCAGGGACAATTTCCCGTTCCCATACAGGGTCAGTACCCATATCAAAACCAGTATCCAATTCAGTTACCGTATCCCCTCCAGGGTCAACTCCCTTTCCAAGGCCAACTGGCGCCCCAGGGGCAGACCCCAGAAATAACGCACCCGCCGGCCTCCTGCAGGTACTGGTGCCAGTCTCCGGGGATTCTGCGTCACTTTTACTGTTGCCCCATGGGTAAGTTAAACCCGCGCCTCAGCAGTAGGCAACACTAACAACTTTACACTGTTCAGTAAAATGGTGATTTGAAGATGGCTGGCTGTCTTATGGGTAATAACGCCGTATAGCCTGGCAGAAGTTTGCCAACATAGCAATGGACTCCACCGCGAAAACCTGAAATCCTACTTAAAATAGTTTCTAAGTTGAAAGATTCAAGAATCGAACGTATAAAAAGAAATTCTACGTTACCTCAATTTGAATGTCTCCAGAATAAAGAATCCTAACAAATATTTGCTTAAATTTTTGCATAAAATACGTATAAATACAGGCATACCTCGTTTAATTGCGCTTAGCAGATATTGCGGGGTTTTTTTTTGGTTTTTTTTTACAAATTGAAGGTTTGTGGCAACCCTGCGTCGAGCAAGTCTATCGGCGCCATTTTTCCAACATCACGTGCTCACTTCGTGTCTCTGCGTCACATTTTGGTAATTCTCGCATTGTTTTCTTTAGACATAATGCTATTGCACACTTAATAGACTACAGTACAGTGTAAACATAACTTTTATATGCACTGCGAAACCAAAAATTCGTGTAACTCGCTTTATTGCGGTGGTCTGGAACCGAACCCGCAATATTTCTCCGAGGTACACAGACCAGCCGAGACGGCAACGAACCTCATTTTAGTCGTGCTTAAATTGGTACTTTTAAAAGTACGAACACTTTTGGTGAGACAACTTGTCCTAATGTTGACAACTTCCCCGCGTGAGCGAGCAATGTTGCCCTGTTGTGTAAAATGTGAAGGATAATGGGTGTGCGCGCGCATGTATGTACATGTATACAAAGAATGGATTTTCAATGGCTTCTAATTTATGTTACACAATCTCGTACAATCCATTAAACTGTCTCATGCTGGTCCTTCAAAAGCTTGGTATGGAAACACAAAAAACTACCGCAATGTATCATGTGCATTAACCGACTAAATGCCACTATTTAAGAATAATGTAATGTAAGGTCACGTTCAGAAATAAAAACATAACATGTTCGACAACACTGTTATTTCCACATTGAATGTTCGCACAGGGGCCATCTTGGCACTTGATGGTTCTGACATTTACGTTCAGTCTCACGTTTCAGGCGGTAAGCCCGGCACGTGCCCGCAGATCAGCCATGAGGTGTGTATGAACTACACTCCAAGGCTTGATGTCGTGACCTGCACGTTCGATTACAGCTGCGGTGAGACTGACAAGTGCTGCTTCGATCCTTGCCTCAACAAATACACCTGCCAACTCGCAGCGACGCCAAGGGTCGGTTAGCGAAACTAATAGCGACGGTGACAACCTCTGCCGGAATTACAACGTGCTGCATTTGCGACAAGGCAAATCCCAGGCTCGGATGTCACGACTCGATATTTAATACACTTCCGCTTTCAAAATTCCTAGGTTAAGTTTTCTTGTTTTTCAATGTTGTTCTGCTGCTTCTAATCCTCACCCTCTTCCATCACATCATTTTCCTCTGTTCTATGCTTCTCTTTCTAACTATCACTTCTGATATATCTTTCTCCTTCTTCGTACTGCGATAAAACCGTTTGCTTCGAGATATCGAACTCACGTTTATATCTAAATCTGAATCTCCCCACGTAATAACAGCTTTATCTTACATTCCTTTCTTAGTTTTATCAACTGTTTTCATTGTAACTTGATCAAATTTATTTCTACCTGTTTTGATATTGTTTATAATGCATTCATAATTTTTTTCCACTCTCAAAACTTACTCTTAAAATCATCCTTATCAGATATGTTTTTTTATCTTAGTTTTTCTTAATATTCTTGATGCACTGCCAATATATGAAGGTAATTTAACAAACGTATTATAACGTTTGAGTTTTATATGAATATTATTTTATCTCCCTGTGTGTAAAAATATTTTCCCTGTTAGGTGTATACCGTTTGTTTCAGTATCACATGTTTTTAACTTGGTTGATATGTAGAAAATCTGGCAACGTCTTTCAACGACAATTTAATATTTTAAAGATGTGATCCTACCTCAAATAAAACAATTCATACCAACATCATGAAGTTTAATATTTGAATTTATTAGCATTCCCAGCAGATGGCACTAGTAGTTTAAAATTCGTTTAACTGGAATCTAATTTTCAAGTTCGTAATTTATACAGAATAAACCAGATATGCATACAAACAAATGATAATTTTGAGCTCTGTAATTTTTATCAGTAATTCGCAGGGCCACTCAATATATTTAGTAAGTGATAATACTCGAGATAATACAAGATTGTGAATATTGTGTAAGTAGTAAGGACATTTTGTATTGGAACAAACCAATTGATGGCATTTTTTTTGCAAAGTTTTCGGAAAATGTTTCAAATGCTATAGGTTTACTCTTTGTTTGTATCGTAACTTCAAAAATTTCTGGGACGGAAGAGAATACAGCGAAAATGAGGCAGGTAGTGTGATCAAAATTTGCAATCGACTACGAAAATCGACGAAGGAAACCATTCAAATGTTTCTCGCGATATGTATCGAATTTTATCGATTTACGAGAACAAAAAAACAGATGTCGATTCAAGGAATTTCGTTGTCAGATGTCGTGAATTTTGACTTCCAGAAATATTTTCAACACTTTTACGAATACTGACTGAAGGGCAGATCTTCAGAAAGACTGTAGTTTGTAAAGGTAAGTCTAACTTAATTAAAAAAAAATAGCTCCAGTCCCGAAACTTTTTGAAACTACTATGTATTTTATATAATTACACGAAAGAATCAAAATAAATAAGTTAGTATTGGTGTATAATATTTCTAAGAATTTTATTCATAATTATAATAAACCCAGACACTTCAAATTAATGTACAGTACGGAGTTTTCCTCCGGGGGCTTCCCCGGTTTCTCCGTGGCATCCCAACAATTACTCCATTCACACACAGAAGAAGGCAATGGCAAACCACTTCTGGATCATCTGCCAAGAACGTATATGAACAGGTCCCAGTCCGAGAAAAGGATGGAAGGATCCTGTTCATATGGACCTCTCCTCAGACAGAACACTTAATAATAAATAATAAATACCGATCTTGTAATCAACATTTATGCCCGATAATAAATAATTTACCGTATTAGCACGTAAGCTTAGATTACGTAAAAAACATACAGTAACTAAACAAATTCAAAAGTAATGACAATAGTAAAAATAATACGACTTTCAGTCAAGATTCAGGACAAACAGCATTTGAATACCAGAACCCAGCGGCTACAATCGTCTATAATTTTGTTCACGCATCTGCGTTAATTATCAGGTCGTTAATATATTGGAGATACACAGCAGTATCCCCCAAAATGGGCGTGGTCAAATCTCTTAATGAACATCACACCCTCCTGCTCTTACGAGGCACGTGTATCGTCAGAAAGCTTTGTTTTAGGGGAGAGAAAACAGATGACGGACATGGGACCGCAACCAGAATACACCTCGAAGCAAAATAAATATTAGGTCTGGAAGGCGCCACTAGATGAGGTCGTAATGTAAACTTTTCTTTAATAAGAAATATTCAGACTGTATTTTATCTCAAAACCTGAAGGGAAAAAAACGTCAAAACGCATATCCTAAACCGATTGGCTAGTCTCTGGGCGTTAATCAATTAAATTTTGAGCAATTTAGCGGATTATTTTTTTTTAAAGTAAGTTTTTATACAGCAGAAAACTATTGAAATCACAGAACCTCAGGGAGGTACATATTTTTTTTTTTAACAGAGTGCCAATTCGCTGTGAGGTATGAAGCTATCAGAAAAAGTTATAAATTTAAGTATGATTTGAGGTTTTCACAGCGGTCAGTATGAAAATTTCTCTGAAACGTTGGTAAACGTCTACCATAATACACGGCGCAACAACCCAGAAGATAAATCTTTATAAATTTAATTATTTATTTTAATCCGTCTTATCACAATATTTAAAATTTCTTATAATTAAGATAATAAAATATCATTCATGTTCCGTATCGATTGATCGAT